TCCCCCCCTCCCTTCGATCACCACCCGATCCCGACCTTCCCCTCTCCGATCCGACCTCCGCTCTTCATCCCCCCCCAACCAGTTTTTCCCACCTAGATCCGCTCTTCCCCACCAATTATGATCCCTCTTCCCCGATCACGATAGCTCTTAGAGCATGTACAACTGCGAGAGCATGGTCTATCGATCCTTCAGCATTTGGGACTTGAAGCTAAGTCCCGTGAAAACAGCTACCAGCGGGATAACCGGAGTGTGCTAGTCAGGTGTTCATAGCGACATTGTTTTTTGATCCTTCGATGTCGCTCTTCCTATCAATGTCGCGCAGAATTCACCAAGTGTTGATTAAAGATCCTATCAATCAATCAATCAATCGATACAATCAATCAATCAGTCGGGATCCTGTCGAATCGATTGGTTCGACAGGATCTTGATCAAGATCCTGTCGGACCAATGGATTCGACGAGATCCCGACTGATTGATTGATTGATAGATTGATTGATTGATTTTATCGATTGTATCGATTGATTGATTGATTGATTGAATGATTGATTGATTGATTGATTGGTTGATTGATTGATTGATTGATTGATTGATTGATAGGATCTTAATCAACACTGTCCTCGGGTTCATCCTTGTTGCCGCCATCCCCTACCTCGTCCTTCTCGGCGTTGTGCCTGTCCTCCTCCTACTTCTTTTCGTCTTCTTTTTCAACCTCCTCGTCCTTCACATTGCCCTCGTCGTCTTCAGCCATCGCTGTTGTTCTCCGGTCATCCTCCCCCCGCCTTATCCTCCTCCTCCTCCTCTTCATCTTCGTCATTCGTTTCATGTTAGGCCCCATCCTCCCTCGCCGCTGCAGCCGCATCCCCATCCCCACATTCTCGCCATGGTTGTTGATATTATAACGCCCCCTCCCCTCTTTGCTTTGTTTTTCCTACACTCAATCAATCAATCAATCAATCAATCAATCAATCGATAAAATCAATCAATCAATCAATCAATCAATCAATCAATCGATCAGTCGAGATCTCATCGAATCGATTGGTTCGACAAGATCTTGATCAAGCAATCTCCCCCCCAGCAGCAGGCCCTCAATTTAAACTCCCCAAGCAATCCACCCCCCCCCAACACCCCACCATCACACCTCCCTCACCCTATCTGAATTTTTTTTCTGTTTTTACTCGGAACAGCCTGAAATTTTTTTGGGGGGTTCCCCTAGTGGTGCGCAGACTCCCCCCCATTTTATTTTATTTTTTCGTTTAGTTTTTTGAGAAAAAAACAGTTGTCCGATTCTCCAGACAACTCCCCCCCGACCGTCTCTCGGAGACGTCCGGGGGAGACGTCTCCGGATCGTACAGCTGGCAGCCTAGGTTTTGGGTATGAAGTTTCTTTGAAAACTTCAGACAAAGGTGCTATTTCAATTTTGGGTCCCTATGGAATTTCCACCACATTTCAAAAATTAGCAAAGCAAATAAGTACACTTCAAAGTGGCTTTGTGTACCATTTGTAGTTCCCGCCACATGTGTCCTGGAAATTCGAAATTTGAAAATTGAAGCGAGTTGTCGTTTCCTCACTTTCCCTCCAAAATCCACTAGTTCTCACCAAACTTTTCAAACTTTCTCGTCGAACTTTGTCGTGCCTCTCATAGGCTTTCGTGCCTACACATGTTGTAACTCCTCTTTCTGGACCATATTAATCCGGTAGCGTACCCACCCATCGCCCTAGGGTATCATTCCCGTTTTTTTGAAAACTAACATTCCTGTATTTTTCAAAATTTTAATTTCCTATCACGAACAAGATACTGGCCAACGAAATTCCAGATAAGCAAGCGGTAACCGTCCGCGTCTGAGTCCGTACTTGTGCCTAAAATTAGAATTACAAGAACTACAAGATTACAAGAATTACGAGAATTACGAGGGTATTGCAAAAATCCCTCGTTGGATATGGTGTCGTGCCTACTAAGTGCCGCAGAATTAAAAAACGGATACTACAGTGTTGTGCCTAGTAAGTGCCGCAGAATTAAAAAACGGTTTATATCCTATAACCTAATATTTGTCTATTATCTGCCTAGCCTAAAAAAAAAAAATCCCCCTATCTCTCCGTCCACTCGGGCGGTAGTTTTTGCCCGTTCCATTTACCATCATGTTATCAAGGAGCGTTCTCGATGTGTCCTTGATCACAATGGTTCCCCTGGCAAACTTTGTCAAGGACGATGCGAAGAGGGGATACCCATGATGTTAAAGTTTCTGTTTCATGGCCATCACAGGTTGGATCACTACACATCTTACATTTGCCAGGCGTCTAATCCTGTGGAGTGCGCCACTGATTGCACCGTACTTTACCCTCTTATCTAAGTAAGAGTAGTAATCTTGGAAACTCCTGAATAGCATCTCCTCGTTGATGATAGCGTCTTGATTCTTCAGTTGAGGTGTGATCAGTAATTTGAAGGAACAGGCAGCCGCTGTAACCTTTATGCCAATGAAGTCGATATTGTTGCCTCCTTTGTCGGTTCTCCTCAGCATGAGTCTCCTTCCATAGCATCCTTCGAATGTTTCACTATCCTCTCCGCCTTGTGCAATAAGCTCTCGATTCTCTTGTCCACCAGTACCTCTGTATTGACGTCGTCCATGAACCCAATTCGTTGTATTAACGCTCTATCCTTCCCCAAGGAACACAAACTCAGTCTCATACTTAGCGCACAAAATGCACGCTGACGATGGACTGGAGTTTTTTCCCATTGGTATCCGCACGATCTGCCTCTACAACATTCCCCTGCAAGTTGTATATGTGTGGCTCAGCTCAAACTTGACGTACTCCCTTATGAGCTGAAAAGACATCTGCACAAATCCTTTTCCCCGACTTTTCTGATTCATCACCACCTCTTTCCCTCTTCTGCTCACACTTACTTTTTCTCTTCCTCTCACCTCCCATTCCCGGAGCAGCCAATCTACCGCATCAATGATTGTATTATGTGGTAGAGATGTGAACATTTCTTTATGTCATAGCTCCGTAGCAGAGGTCATGGCATCCCCATTCTTATTGTTGAACCTCTTCTCAGTCTGCACGAGTTTCTCCTTTAGATGCGTTGCCACCCCCATGTTGAAGTGTGTAGCCTCTGGAAGTCTCGCCAAGAGGACGTTGAGTGCTTTGGCCAACCTCCAGCTCCCCGTCTTGGTTGGCTCCCTTAGTTGGTGCAATAGGTCGCTATTTCCTAAGGTCCTTGTGCTTCGGGATCACGTACGCACAACCCACTTTGCCCTTCTATCCCATGCAACTATCCTCTAGAGTCGAACCCTCTTGTGATTGTCTCTTGCTTTCGCCATGACCTTCTTCTCATTCCTTTCCTCCTACTTGTAGGCGCCGTTGTAGATGAACATCTCCTTTAGTGCATTTTGGTAAGTAGGCGGACAAAGTAGCACTATCTCCCCTGCGTTGCTGTCCACTGGTGTTCTTACCAAATGCTTGTATCTTCTCTTAACTTTTGTGACCTCTTCCTCCAAGATCGCGGGGCTTGTGTGGGTCTGTTCCGTATAGCATCTCTTCATTTGCTGCTGGACGTCCACATGATTTCCCATTGTTGTCTTCAACACAGTAAAGATCCTCTCTCTCGGTTCCCTTTACCCCGTTCCTTGAGCTAGGAAGCGGGGAAGAACGGGTAGAGTGCGGTAGTGCGCCGTTAGAGTTCCACTCTAACCCCCCCTACCCCCGCCCTAACCCCGTTCTACCTCTTTTCTCCCCATCTAACCCGCTTTCAAAAAACGCACGAGTGGTGGAGGGCTGCGGA